GATAGCGAGTTCGAATCTGAGCCGTGGAGTTGTTTTTAAAATTCATTAAAAACAGATTAAAATATAATGGAATCAATTAAAAGTAATTAAAAATAATGACGGATTAAATAATTAATCACGTGTCAAATAGTTAAAAATAATAAATTAAAAGTGATGTCATTCCAAACACATGGCTGAAGATACCGTTGCCATAAGCATAAACAAGTATTGTCGCTGCTACGAAAAAAAATAAAAACTTTCAAATATAGGGTCGTTACCACAGAATAAAAACGGAACTATTATGACGTCATTCCAGTGTGTCCCTTTCGGAGAATCCAAGATGGCGGTGATATCGTAACTTTCGGTTGTCACGTGATCCAAGATGGCGGAGGCGGCACATCAAAGGCATACCCCCTGTTGCGTTATCTATTATTATCTTACGTAATCTATTGTTCTATTACGTCATGGCGGCATCCTTTGAGATCCTGAGCACCCCCCGCTTACCAAGGTTCTTTAATATACTAAGGTTAGGCCAGGAACGGAAAAAGCGTGCCATTGGTTGCTGGTAGTGACGTCACCCGGGAGACAGGACGCATCGGCCGACGCGTCTGCTACATGATTTTGGTAATGGAAAAAATGTAAACTAAAGCAAAATGATCATTTTTATATGTGGTAGATACACCGGAAATACCGGGTATATACTTTCCGTTTTGTTAAAGAAAATGTTTATTTTATGCATAGAATTCGTACGAATGCTGAAAATAATTATAAACATTAAATTCTTTTCGGAAAGGGAAGCCTTAGAAAATGAGAAACGATATTTAAGTTAACTAAGGGAAATAAATATTGTAAAACAAGGTATTTTTCAATATTTTTTCGTAGTATTGTTTGCACTAAATAAATTTTGTTGAACAGAACACATGATGGCATAACTGCTAAGACCATGGTAAAAACATAATAAAAAAAGTATTGTTCTATTTATTTTCATTGCTCATGCACTTTTTTTAATACAAATGAATTTTGACATTCCATGAGAAAGATATGATCGTGATTTTTCAGTTTTAATTTACATATCTCAAGCAAAAATATATATAAAAAGATTTGACTTAACAAATTCATATTTAAATACCATAAAATTCTACAAATTTCTTAATATCCGTCATTATACTTTTAAATAGTATACTTATCACATTCTTTTTAAAGTGAAAAGTCACTTCATACTGATTCACTTCAGATTTTAGCAGAAGTGCATATTTTTTCAGTATAATCTAAAAGTACTCTTATAACCCCTTACACTCCCAAGATTTCTATATAACATTTATCCTGACGTGATTATTTGCTATAGTAAATAATCTTCGATATCGGCATCCTATTCTTCCTTCCATACATTAAAAATGGAACAATTAAAATACATTTTCTTAGACATATACGCATAATAATAATATAAATAAACTTGCCATACATCTTAGTTTAGCCCACCAGCAGCTGAGCGTAAAGTCGCTGAACACTGGTAGTTCGGTCCGAATCCCACGAACGGGGGCTGGCTGCATGGGCGTTTTCGTGGTTTTTCCTCATGTGTAATGTGTATACGAGCCAGTTTACCTGAGAAAGTCCTCCAAGAAGGCATCACACCTATTACGCAGATAGCCCTAGTGTGCTTTGCCATAATTAAAATACACCACCACATCTTAGTTTCAATTCAGCCTGTACACAAATTAAATATTTTTAATTACTAATGTATTTTATCAGGTTGTTTCTTAAAATACTTTTGTTATACTCAAAATATGTGTTCAATATTAAATTATTTTTCTTTCTCTTATAATTAAAAACAAGTTATATGGAATCAAAATTAAAACATATGCAGCAGTAAATAACACTGAAGAGTATCTACTTACTCTTTCGCTATTTGTATTCTAGCATTATACACAGATTTGTTTTCCTTCAGAGTCAGCTATGTGTAAGTTCACTTAGTTATATCAATTAAATTACATCAGACATATGCATCAGTTAAACAACATTGAAGGAAATATGTTGCTCGCTCATCGATGTTTGCATCATAGTGTGGTCGAGAAATTGTTCTTTCTTCTGAAGCATGTATCAGTTTACTTAGTTCTCAATGCTTAACCCAGACATTGCTTCAATACATAGAATTACTTTTGGGATGTAAAGAAAGTAACCAAAACATGTGAATTAACTTGGATAAGCGAATTTATCAACTAATCATTCAGGTAGTCACTATTGGTAACACGACACTGAGATTAAATATCTCGCTATAAGTCTACTTCATAAAAGGAAAATTATGATAAAATGAATAGCACATATTCTGGCATTTTCGATGTTGAAATTATCTGCTCTTTTGCAGCGAATAGTCCATAACTTACGATCACTTGGAAAACGATGGTATGTGATGCCTTGACTTTTAGTTTTCCTTCTATAATTCTGACACAACGCTATAACACAACTTGCCATTTCCGACTAGGTATAAAAGCAAATTAACAACACAAATCAAATGTATCCCAGATCAAATGCAACGAATGTAAACAAACGCCGAGAACTAACGACTGTCACCCACATGACGTCATGCGCAGGTGGCATAATTTTCTCCCTGCACTACGCATCGCTCTTGGGCCCCCCCCTGCCGCTTACTACTGGCTTCCTTGCGGGATGCCGGCCCTGATAGCCCGTGGGGTAGAGTTTGTGTTGTTTACACGAACGATAAAGTGTCTATCCTTAAGATAAGAGTAAGTGATGGCTGTGATGTACTCTGGGAAACCCAGGGTGATGATTTTGTACATAAGGCCCTCCAGCCAAACACGATCAAAGTGGCACTTGTAGTTTGTCGTTCCTGAAGACGTTGCGAGATGAATTCGGTGACTCTGTAAAGCTGGTGGACTGTAGAATGTTTCTTACGGAACCCATGCTGCTGTGGAATGATGATATTATTGAACTCAGTATGAGCGAGGGTTCTTTGGAGAATGATGTACTCAGCTACCTTGCTGAGCGAGGACAGGAGGCTGATAGGACGGTAAGAAGCTGACTCTGCAGGTGGCTTTCCAAGCTTTGGAACTGTAGTTATGATAGCAGTTTTCCAAGGTGTGGGGTAGTGCCCCAGGCTAAGCATGTCATTGATGATTGAGAACAGTTTAAGTAGCATGAGTATCCCCATGCACTTAATCATCCCGTTGGGCGCGTTGCTCATGCACCCTTGATCTATTTTAAAATTATGAGCGGCCAATTTCCTACTTGATTTATTGGTAAAAACTTTTTTGTAGTTGAGTCCATTAGTGAAATTGACGATTCAAAATTCAAGATAATTCATCTTCATTTTAAAGCTAAATCAAACCTAAGGTTCGCCCAGATGCAAAATTAAAGCTTGTGCGTCTGCCAATTGTTGGGTTCTTTACTATCTTACTGTTAAAATCAATGCTCGTCTATTTGTTTGTTGCATTATCTCCTCTGGAATGACTGGGAGTTGAGTGTCGAGAGAAGTACCCCGTATATCAAAAATTCGTGGGAAGTCATTTCGACCATTCTCATCTTCGCACGACTTTAAGCAACCGACATATTAATTAGAAACTCTGAAAATCTAATTTTCGCACTCATTTTTAAGATTAGCAACAGTCTTGCATGCTGAAAATAAAAATCTGCTTTATTTTGTAATGTGTTGTCAATGATGGCTTTCAAACAGTAGAGTTTGCTATTCAAAAATTTGCAAGTTTTAGAAAATGTGAAATAAAAAAGGTCTGAAAGGTTTCAAATTTTAAATTACGTCCAAAGGAGCGTTTTGCAACATTTTGTGTGTTACCCTTATTTATTAAATATCATGTTCTTTACACTTAAACCATAAAATTCAGTTCAACAACAATGTCGCAAAATAATTTTAAAATGAGCATATTTTTAGAATTTCCGATACACAGTCTCGCGCGCTGGAAATAAAAATATTTTTTCTGTACAACGTTGCCATTGCTCGTTTTGAAATCCTGGAGCTGGTTAATCAAATATTCGTTGTTAAAGTTTTACAAAATATGAAATCGATAAATTCCAAATTTCAAATCTGGGCTTCCAGATACCCATAATCATTATACAAAATTTGATGGCTCTAGGTACCGTTGTTTTATCACAATACGAGAAACATACATACATTTATCCATATTCTTCATTATTTAATTTCTTTAAATATAATACTAGACGATAATATTTGGTGGTAATAATTTGAAAAGTGAAACAACGCTTGTAGTGAATCAATGCAAAATGCCAAAACGAAATTAATAGTCTTTCTGCGCAAATTCCCCCTTTGGACTAAAAATAGCATTGCTAAATATTAAACTTTTTATTCCGAATTAAAAAAACTCGTGAAAAGCCATTTCGGCCATTTTCATCTTCGTACGATTTTAATCAGCCGAGATGTTAATTAAAAATTCTGTAAACGATAATTTTCGCACTTAATTTTTTGAGTGGCAACAGTCTCGTGCGTTGGAGATAAAAATTTGGTTTATTTCAAAAAGTGCTGCCACTGCTGGCTTTTAAATCGTAGAATTTGTTAATCAAAAATTTATAAGTTTTACAAAATACGAAACATAGCATTGGCATACATTAAATATACTATTATTATTATTTAACGTTATGTTCTGACATTGCAGAAAGCACGCGATTGCATGTGACTTCACTATATGTCAAAAATTAATATCAGCATTTTAAATAAATAACTGCTGTTGGCAATCTTTCTGCTTCGGATTAGGATAACTGATAGTGCATTATTGCTGATAGTGTATTATTTATAGTATTATTGCCACAGTAATTCTTTTATTGATATTTAGAAAAAGTAGTTATTTTACATTAAATTTAAATCAGGCTGTCATATATATACATATTAACGTGAAAAAAGTGTAAAAAGTTTTTGTTTCCTGGTTTGGCAACAAAAAACTAATTTACGAGTTGATTGTTGCTTGGAAAGAATAAACTTTCGTTCATATTAAGCTATTTTTATATATTTCTTTTTAGATGTATATAGAACTTATTAACTTAGCTTTGGAGGCAGTCTTCTCACCTGGGGGCTTGACCGCTAATTCATTATAAATGTTGTTTTAATTGCTTAGATTTTTAGTAAAAATGTTCGGTTTTCTTTGCAGTTTATTATTACACTTTTGAATCGATGCGAACGCCTCCACTTGGAGCCATGTCTCATGCATGCAAAGTGGAATTCTTCTATCATTTCAACATAATTTCAGGTAAGTAAATTTGCTCTTTATATGAATTTCATCTGAATATTGAAACTGCTGTTCTCGAACTCTTAAGTGTTTAGCTTTAAGATCAAATTCTATCTTAACTGAAAAGTAAGGTAAAATTAGGAAAGTCTGATGTTTGTAATGAAAAATCCTGTATTAAGTCCTTTGATGGAAAAGCCGTGGTTTGAATTCTAGCTTCTTCACAGAAGAATACTTCAAGGCATACTTGTCTTGCGGAAGTTAATGACGCTATCCGAAGAAGTTTATTTCATAAATTAATGTCCCCATTACTTAATACAATAATTATTGATAATATAATTGAAAATATTCGTATTTGATAGCATTTTGATTTTTTATATGGTATGACGGGTTAATCTTCCGTGATCGGGGTGAGGGCCAAACTTGGCAAGAGTTTTTAATTTAGCGCTATTTTGATTTGGTTGTGGTTTCCTATGGCAACCTATAGCCTTGGTGAATGGTCTGGGAGGCGACAGGTCAGAGACCTGAGACCTGGATTGAGGGTAGAAAGAAGAGGAAGAGAGAAACGAAGTCAGCTGATTCTGCAGTCTAAGATAAGCGTTATTTCTTTCAAGGCCAGATGGCTAAAGAAAGAGATGCTTTTGACGCGGAAATAAATAAGTTTGTATAATTGAAGCGCGTTAATGTTAAAATTAAAATTAATTTCTAATGAAGAGAATTAAGTTAAGGTTTTAATTTGGATCAGGATAAGTTAAGTATTTAAAATTTAAAATAAAACTTAATTTGGAAACAATAATTTAGTAATCTTTAAGGTAGTTTTTAAGCATTCAAATTTGCTAAGGTAAGAAGAATTGGTTAAGGTGGATTTAAGATATGAATTCCGCAAAAATTAAAATAAAATAAAATCGTAAAGGAGAGGTCTTGGTAAGCGGAGGTGTGATAAAGAGAGGCAGCATGGACATGAATACCGGAAAACGTGGCCGGATTAGATCCGGCAGGGGTAGAGAAAAAATTTAGGTTGTCGGGTTAGGCCCGTGAAGTGCTTAGAAAAAAGAGAGAATTCTCTAGTCAAGCAAACACACCCGTTTTGGTTTCCTAGGAAAGATGTTGAATGTTCTAGAAAGAACGCTCCTAGGACGCTTGGCAGAGCTTAGTTCTGCCGGATTATAGGTGGAAGTGAATGCAGGACTGAGTTTTCAATCAAGGTTAAGCGGTTGAAAAACGTGGCCCAATTATGCCGAAAAAAGGCATCTAGGGGTAAAATTTGGAGGTCATTATGAAGCACTTCATTACGGACGTAGTAATGAGCATTAGTGAAGATACAAAGTGTAACATTCTGAAACAATTGAATTTTCTTCAGATGGCTATTGGCTGAAAGTTGACCATGTGGCGGCGGCGTAAGTAAGGATGGGTAAGATGGTAGTTTTATAGAGCAGGATTTTATTCTTTAAGGATAGGTAGCTGGTTCTATTGATAAGCTCAGTAGTTGATTCCTGGTTGTTCTAGCTTTAGATACGGCATAGTTGATGTGAGTGTTCCAGAGTAACTTCGCATCGAGATAAATTCCGAGATATTTATATGAATCTACCCAGGGTGTGTCTTTATCAACGAGCCTGAGTGGCTGGAGTTGACTGTGGACATTCCTCTTTCTGGAAAAGAAAACTGTGGCAGCACTTTAGGCAACATTAATTTTTATTTTCCAGGTAACAAGTCTGATAGGTACTGTTATAGGTGATTGGAGAGTGAGGTGCAGTGAAGGGTGTTGTGAAATGATGGCGGTGTCGTCTGCATAAAGTGCTAAATCGATACTAGGTTATTATAGTACATCATTTATATACGAGTTGAAGAGAAAAGGACTAATTAGCCCGCCATGTGGGACACCGGCAAAGATAGGGCGAGGGGAAGAGTGTGAATATTTTACTTTGATAGAAAAGGAACGATTCGTGAGGTATGTGTGCATTATGTGCACAAAATTGGCCGAAATACCAAGTCGCATGAGCTTGAAGATAATTCCGATATGCCAACATCTGTTGAAAGCCTTTGCTACGTCTAAATGGACAATAGCTATAGGCTTTCCACTGTGAGAACCTGAATGAATGATTTCAACTACCCTCAGTAGCTGGATCTGAGTTGAGTGTTTAGCACGAAAAACGAATTGCTAAGAAATAATAATATTTCGGCTTCGGCAGAAATCATTCAGGTCTTTATTTCGGTGATTGTAATGAATGCGAGTTTAGTGTAGCCATGAGATTTTTTTTGTGAAATTAATTTTGAAATACTGTGTTTGTTTTTAAGAGTTTACTGTTTAATATTTGCAGGAGATTAAGCTGTTGTTAGTGTGAGAAATTTGGATTTCAGATTGCGTGAAGTTTATAATTTATGAACTTTTTCATTTAATTTTATTTAGTTAATGTTTTCTGGGCCAGTTAATTTTTTTTTAGTTTAATTTCTTGCATGTGGCAGTCGAAAGATGTGGAATGTTTAATGTTTTGAACGAAAATTCTTTAGCGTGTTGAATTCCACGACGATAGTAACTTGTATATTTTAGTGACTTTATGATACATCCGTTGTTAGTGAATTTGATTACGTTTACTTGGTTAACAAATTTGAAGTCCGAGGAAAGTGTTATACAATTTATTGTTTTATTACTTTATTATTCATGTATTACATAGTATATATTGTATTGTACATATATTGTATTTTATCATGAATTACATAGACAGGACTATGTTTTTACTTGCTGATGGACTTTATTTGGTTAATCTTTGGATTATGGTAACTTGGCGATCTTTTGGCGAAAATTTGGCGACCAACCCTGCTACAGCAACCTGCTAGTTTTTGTTTGGACCCCATTTTTTTTCACGAAGTAAAGGCATTTTTTTTTAACTCAACATTTTTTTCCAACAATCTGCTCGCCGAATTACGCTTATGCTAGAACTTTTATGGAACAAAAGTGCTTAATCATGACGAAGATTAGGTGCGAAATTGCGAGAAAGTGCAGAATCACAAACTGCTTGCGCGTTTTTAAGAATTGCACATAAGCGGTATCCATGTACACGTCGACCTATTTTCACTTAAAAAAAAATCCTAGAATTGTACAAAAATGGCATTGCGCACACTCTTGACTTTATCCATGTACACTGCTAAAGTCCTAGCTAGTAACCTTTATCGCCTTACCAAAATGTCGCCAAACTACCTGTTACTATATTCCAAAGATTAACCCTTTATTTTACTCATCTAGTATTTTATTATCTCATTTTACTATTCTATTTACATAAAATAACGGCGTTTCACAAACTAGTTACTAACTAAAGTTAAAATTTACCATTTTCTTTACGTTTAAAAATCGCATCTTACTGCTCTCATTGCCGCCAAAAAAGTTCGCCAAATTTTGAAGGCCAAAATAGTTTGGCGCCAACTTACCCAGCTTATTGGAAGATTAGCCATGTTACGCATTTTTAAAATATTTTTTTGTTGTGGTTGTTTATTCCATGTATGTTTTTAATATTAGTGTGTATAAGGTTGGCACGTAGGTATGGTTCAATCCACCCTCCTGGCAAGCCCAAGCTCGCCTTATGGCTTTCCTAGACCGGGCAGAGTGTTTAAAGGTTAGTTAGTTTAGTTTAGTTAGTTAGCTGGCCCAACCCATCTAGCAGGGAAAGCCTGCTATATAGCTATGAGAGGACAGGCCAATACAAAAAATAAATAAATGGTTACATAACGAAATGTAACAAACTTAATAAACAAAAACCTTGTGTTCTAAGGTATTTTCTGCCTCCTTTCTGCAGGCCTTCGAGGTGTAGCGGTAACATACTCCGCGCGTATTCGAGAGGTCCAGGTTCGAGTCTCGGCGACGGAACGCATATTTTACACGTCTCCTACTTCAAAAAAACCTAATGACTCTGCAATGTACTTTCGTTTAATCACATATATGGTCACGAATCGTGTTTATAAATGTTTATTTCTTGTGTAAAGTTGCAGATCTTATAATTCTGGAAAGATCAGCTTTTAAATTTGGGAAATTAGCTCGATTATAAGCCGATATATAGATAGATACTTTCGGGTTTTAACTAGAATTTTTATTGACAAATTGATGACATTTGGCGATTTTTCGCCAACTTGGGGACATCTGTAATTTACGCCGGCAACGCATTTTGGAAGACTTAAGAGCGCTTTTTTAGGAAGCGCTGTAAAATCTTACAGATTCCGTCTGGATTAAAATCAAGAGTTAGTTCAGAATTCGCCAAAGAGTAAGTTCAGGATTTAAGCAAATTATGCTGTGAACGGTATCAATGATCTGCAATATTCTTGGCGCATTTAGAAGAATGGGATTTATCTATGTGGTCGCCGTTCTATTACTTGTAGTTGTTTAAATTCTTGTGAGTTGTTCTTTTAAATAGACCCCATATCTTCCTACTAATCTGGTGTTAGTTAGATCTCTACCAGCTTGTGGCTCGCAACAGTTGAATGATCATGATATGATTTGTTTTGGACATATTTCTACAATTATTTTAGTTTACATCCTAATAAATTTACTGTAAGCTGAAAAATCTAAGACATTCGAAGTAATTTACTGCCTAAAGATGTGTAATTAAATACAGGGGTTTCTTCAATAATAAAGTCCGGTGGAAAAACAAATGGCACATCTTTCAAGTATACGTGAAAAAGACTTAAATGGTCTGTACTTTTATATTCTTTTGAGAATCACTAATACTTCATAAATAAAACTGCTAAACAATAATTATAATTAATTAAAAGAGATAATCATGAACATAATATGAACAGTATTTCGTAAATATATATAATATATACATACTTCCGTTGAAAAATAATTTAAAACTCAAAAACAAGCAATTGTTTATCTCCTTCGCTTCACTAGTTTATAGTGGTACCCTTGTAGAGACATTAGGTATTTTTTGGAAGCAGGAAAGATGAAAAATTAGCAACGCTTTCGCCGAGAATCGAACCACGGACCTTTGGAATAAGCAGCTAGTATGCAGACCACCACACCCCGAAGGCACTCT